ATTTTATTTATTTGAGAAGTAGAGTTACAGAGAGGAGAAACATCTGCTAGTTCACGCCCCAAATGGCTGCAACAGCCAGAGCTGTGCAGACCTGAAGCCAGGAACCAGGAGCTTCTTCCAGGTCTCCCACATGGATGCAGGGGCCCAAGCACTTGGGCCACCTACCACTGCTTTCTCAGGCCATAAGCAGAGATCTGTATTGGAAAGGGAGCAGCCAGGACATGAACCGGAACTCACATTGGATGCCAGCGCCAGAGGTGGAGGCTTAGCCTACTACACCAGAGCGCCAGCCCCAATAGGGTTTAAATAACTCCCAAGTTGAGGGCTGCCAGATAAAGCAGACAGGGCAGGTGATTTGTGGGATCCCACCCAATGGGAGCTACGAGGCTGGGCTTAACTCTTCAGGGATGTGTGTGTGTGTGTGTGTATGTGTGTGTGTAGCTGAAGAGTTATTAGGAAACTTTGGACCATTAATATTTTTTCCTGTGTTATCATCTTGAGGTCTTATAGTTTTGCCTTTTACATTTAGGTCTATGACTTACTTTGCATTAGTTTTGTGAAGGGTGTAAGGTCTCTAGATGCAGTTTTTTTGCAGGTAGATTTCCAGTTAGTCCAGCACCATTTGTTGGAGAGACGATCTTTGTCTCATCATAGAACCTTTGCACCTCTGCCCAAGATCCTTGACTGTATGAGTCTATTCCTGTGCTTTCTAATCTGCTCTCTTGATCTATTTGTCTACTCTTCCACCGTTACCATGCTATCTGGATTACCGAAACCTTATGCAGTCCCACAACTATAATTCCAGGCCTCCAACTTTCTTATTCAGTATTGTGTTGGCTATTTTGGGCATTTTGCTTCTCCATATAAACTTTAGAATAAGTTTGCCAATTCTCACAAAATCAGTGAGAACTCTACATAATCTGACTCCCCAGTTTAGGGGTCCTTGGCTCTTCTGGGCCTCTGCTTCTCTGTTTATTGCATCTTGATCAAAATTCCTTGTGAATCTTTCTGTGGAAGGCATAGCTCTGTTCAGCCCTGTTTTATCCAGGTATTTCCTCTTCAGTTCGAAAGAGTGCATGGGTATCCAAGTCAGAGACAGATCTGAATTTGGATAGTCTCCCAATCCTGTCTGCCTGCACTTTCCAGCTATTTCTCTGAGCATGACTTTCCTTATTCAGGAAATAGGCTTGTTTTGAGGAAAGAATCCATCTAGTAATCTTGGGTCCAACCACCAATTGGCATGTAGCAAATGTTTGAAACATATTAAGCATTAAATCATCACTGTCATCCTAAACATCATACATAAAATATTTGTTGTACATGTTTCAGAACATCTTGCCCACATATCTTGAGCCCTGGATAAATGTGCATTAGTTAACTACAAATGGCTTCTAAAAATAGGAAGCCACGTTCCACCTTGATCATAAAAAGGGAAGAGTGTAAACTAGAATTACCCTAGATGTTGTTTCTCAACTCAACTTTTGGAAAAATTGAAAAAAAGCTTTATACAACAGTGTGGACACTGGCATATTCACATCAGCTAGTGGTTGTGCAAGATCACCTATGGAGGACAGTTTAAAAATTTCTATTAAAATGCCACATGCAAGTCCTGTTAGGGTCTGAAAAAGCCCACCACCCGAGGAACGACTCCAAGAGACTTATTCTCTCATGCAACCAGCAAAGGGTTAAATTTATTGATCCAACATGTTGGGGCCCTCTGACAAGGACAGAGGAGCAGTGAGGAACTACAGCATAGCGTTTATAAAGGCAAAAACCGCAAAATCGGGAGGGGGGAGAGAATACACAGTTGCTAAGCAGTTGCTAAAATCTTACAATCAGCAATTATGATTTTAAGACATAGACAAATCACATCTTCATTATTAGCCCAGGTAACCCAGGTGCAACCTTTCTACTTTTAAGCTTGAGCAATCATGCTAGGGGGTTTTTGCGCGTTGTCAACGGTGATGTAGTGCACTGCTATTGTGCAACTATTTGAGATCATAGTTTCAGACCAGAGTCTCACGGTGGTGGGGGGGGGGGTTGCTTTCCTAGAATGGAGTCTCAAGTGCCCCAAAATGGAGTCCCTACTGTCAAGGGGCTACTTCAGTCCCATTGCCTCAATAATTGTGCTTCAAGAGATTTATTTTACCAATAGATCTGCACACAGGAATTACTGAAGTTCAAAGTTATGCAGTCATCACTGGTTGTAGTAGCAAAAGAATGGAAACAACCATGCAACAGTCAGAACCTGGTTAAATAAATTAGGTCACAAGTATACAACAAAACCTAAATAGTTATTCAGAAGACAGTAAGCAAACTCTGTATGTACTGATATGAAAAGTTCCACAGGATATACTGATAAAATGAACTTTTTTAAAAGGTACAGTAGAGTTTGTAAAGAATTCTACCTTTTGTGTAAGAAAAAGAGCATATGAGAACAATTTATGCAAACATATAAATATATGTACTATATAAATACAGAGATAATTCAATATAATAGTAAGTGTAACTTACATTGTGGAGCAATTAGCGTAGTGTTTAAACCATCTGCATTCCACATTGGAGTGTCTGGGTTTGCTTCCCAGTCCCAGCATGTGACTATCTTCCTGCCAAAACACTCTGGGAGGCAGTGGTGATGCTTCAAGAAATCAGGTTCCTGCCACTCACATAGGAGACCTGGATTGAGTTCCCAGCTCTTGGCTTCCAGCCTTGGCCTAGCCTCAGCTGTTCCAGGCATTAGGAAGTGATCCAGTGGATGGAAGTTCTCTGTGTCCCTTTTTCTCAAATAAAGTTAAAAAATTTAAAAATATCAATATGTGTATAATATTATATAACTTTATATTTTATTTATGACATGTTAACGATACACATGCATGTTTCATATTACAGATTACACTACATTTTAAGAATCTTGATATTTTACTACATGATTATTCCAAAAATAATTATGTACTGAAATATGAGTCATATAGAATTGTGTGCAAAATAATCACATGTAGGTAATTACATGTGTGTATAAATTGCATATGTATTTATAACATGTACACACTTTCACAATCTTCATTTATGTAAATACATACATATATGCACTTATATGTTTATATACCCATACGTACCTTCTATATACATAAACTCTGGAAGACACTTCAAATCAGAGCGGTTACCTGTGTGTGCTCACGGGGTAAAAATCTGGCGGCTAGGGCACACACGGGAAGAAGGGTTTCCACTGTGTAAAGTTCCTTTTCAAAGTTAAAGAACATGTTCATTTTAAGGAGAAAGTCCATGGGCGCACCGGGTCCCCAGGGCCCACCGCCATTCCTGCGACGCCCTGGGGCTCCCAGTGTCCCCCACACTCACCCCCCACCCCAGGCAGCGAGCGTGCCTGGGCCTGGCAGCCGCCTGACGGCGCAGGCGCAGTCGCAAACCCGCGCATGCGCCACAGGGTTTAGGCGCCAAGTCCCAGCGGTCCTCAGACGAGGACGTCCGACTGACGAGGTGACCGCGCGTGGGCCTGAGGCGGGAGGAAGTCCCGCGGCGCGGCAGCCCTGCCCGGGTAATGTGACGGCATCGGCTGAGGTTGCTGATCTCTGGAAGGGGAAGGTTAGAGCTAGCTCGGCCCAGAGCGGAGGCAGCCCGGTGAGGGGCCAGCCCGGGGCCCCCACGGACAGATGGCCCTGTGGAGAAGGGACTTAGGGAAGAGGGCCCCAGGCGCAGGCGCGGGTTGGAGGGGACCCAGGCTTGGGCTCCAGGGACAGATGGCCCTGTGGAGAAGGGACTTAGGGAAGAGGGCCCCAGGCGCAGGCGCGGGTTGGAGGGGACCCAGGCTTGGGCTCCATGGACAGATGGCCCTGTGGAGAAGGGACTTAGGGAAGAGGGCCCCAGGCGCAGGCGCGGGTTGGAGGGGACCCAGGCTTGGGCTCCAGGGACAGATGGCCCTGTGGAGAAGGGACTTAGGGAAGAGGGCCCCAGGCGCAGGCGCGGGTTGGAGGGGACCCAGGCTTGGGCTCCATGGACAGATGGCCCTGTGGAGAAGGGACTTAGGGAAGAGGGCCCCAGGCGCAGGCGCGGGTTGGAGGGGACCCAGGCTTGGGCTCCATGGACAGATGGCCCTGTGGAGAAGGGACTTAGGGAAGAGGGCCCCAGGCGCAGGCGCGGGTTGGAGGGGAGTGCTGAGGCCAGGGCGGCCCCACTGCAGTCTCAAGCCGGACGCCCACGGCCTTGTGGCCCGGGGCGCTGGTGACTCCGGCTGTCTTTCCCACCCTGAGAGCCGGGTGGGTCTCAGTGTCCAGCTGCCCCCCTCACTCCTCAGCCCCGCCGCTGTTTCCGTAGGAGCTCGTCCCGCCCCCTCCTCGAGCCCCTCCCCTACCGCGAGGACCACTCCTCTAGTCGGCTTCTACTTTGTCCCAACCCCATCTCTGCTCGGCCCAGCCCCACTGCTCTCTGTGTCCTTCCCAGCTGCCCTGGCCGGAGACCCCTGGCTCTCCCTCACTCCCGCTCCTCTCTCCTGCTGCTTCTCTTCTACCTCAGTTCTTTGTTTTGTTTTTTTTTTTCTTTGTATTTTACATTTTTGTATTTTATATTACACATAATGATCCATATTTATGGGATATAATATGGTACTTCCATACATGTATCCATTGCCTAATAATTAAATTAGAGCAATTAACATGCCTAGCACCTCCTTTATCATATTTGGATAGTGAGAACATTGCAGATCCTACCTACCTTCCAGCTATTTTGAACTACACATCATTGTTTACTATAGTTGCCCTACCGTGCAATAATACAGCAGAACTTATTCCTCCCGTCTAATTCATGACATCATGCCATGGACTAACATTCCCCATTCCCCCATCACCTCACCACTCTGTGTAACCACTGTCTTCAACTTATATGAGGTCAACATTTTAAAATTTCTTAATGAGTGAGATAATGTGGTATTTGTCTTTCTATATCTGGCTTATTTTACTTAGCAGAATGTCATCTTAACTTCATTTTGTCAAAACTGACAGGATTTCAACATTTTTATGACTGAGTAATATTTCCTTATGTATATATACCATGTTTTCTTTATCCATTTATATGTTTGTAGACTTTAGGTTGATTCTGTATCTTGGCTATTATGAATATTGCTGTGGTAAACATGTGAGAACTGTTATCTCTTCAACAGACTTTAATTCCATTTAGTTATATATGCCCTGTAGTGGGATTGCTGTATAATAGGATAGCTCAATTTGGATTTTCAAAAGGATGTTAAATGATTTTTTTTACCAGTTTTTATGCCCTCTGTGAAATATGCATCGTTCCTCAAAAACACAAAATCGGAAAACTAACATAGAAGGAATAAAAAATATTGAATAGCTATATACATATTTGACAAATTAAATTCATTTTTAAAATCTTTCTTCAGAGATAACTAATGGCCTAAATAGTTTCACTGATGAATTCTACCAAACATTTAAAGATGAATAGTCCAATAATATGTTCTTTCAGATAGTATAGAAAGAATGATTTCCAGCTCATTTGAATCTTTTAAATTAATTATTTTTTTAAAGATTTATTTATTTGGAAGTCAGAGTTAGAGAGAGAGAGAGACATCTTCCATCCGTTGGTTTACTCCCAAAATGGCTGCAATTGCCGGAGCTGAGCTGATCTGAAGCCAGGAGCCAGGAGCTTTTTCTGGGTATCTTAGATTGGTACAGTGGCCTATGCACTTGGGTCATCCTTTGCTGCTTTGCTAGGCGATTAGCAGGGAGCTGGATCAAAAGTGGAGCAGTTAAGGCTCACATATGGGTTGCTGGCACTGCAGGCGGCAGCTTTACCTGCTAGCCACAGTGCCAGCCCCTTAAATTGACTAACAATAGGCCACAACTGGATGGTGGAATGAAGTAGTGGTGATAACCACTTCTTTATTTAAGGAATGCCAACCCCTTAAATTGTTTACATTTAAAAGGCAGACATACACACACACACACACACACACACACACACACACACAAAACTCCTCCTAGAGAGGGAGAGAGGTAGAGAGGGAAGAGAGATCCTATCCACTGGTTCAGTTCTCAAGTGCCCACAAAAGCTGCTGCTGGGCCAGGCTGAAGCCAGGAGTTAGTAATTCAATCAGTTTCCCGGTATGGGTGATAGGGACCCAACTAACTACTCAAGCCATCACCTGATGCCTAATAACATATATACTAACAAAAAGTTGGAATTGGGACCAGAGCCAGGACTCAAATCTAAGCACTCTAATAGGGGATATAGGTATCCCAAATGATATCTTCACTGCTTGCCAAATACCCACCCCAGCACACTTTTAAGAGACCAACATAACTCTGCTATCAAAACCTCATTAGTACATGGGGGGAAATTACAGAACTGTAGTCCTAATTAATACAGGTGGAAAAAAAATCCTTAACTAAATATTAGCAAATCAGATCCAGAAAAATGTAAAAGTAAGATATAACATTAGATTTTTCCTCTCTTTATCTTTTGTGTATCTATTTTACTTTAAAATTTTTTTAATTTATTGAAGAGGTAGAGTTACAGACACATTGAGGGAGAGAGAGAGAAAGGTCTTTCATCCACTGTTTCACTCTCCAAATGGCCGAAATGGCTGGAATTGGGTTGATCTGAAACCAGGAGCCGGGAGCTTCTTTCAGATCTCGCGTGAGTGTACAAGGCCCCAAGCACTTGAACCATCTTCTACTGCTTTCCCAGGCCATAAGCAGAGAGCTGGATCAGCTGGACACAAATGAGTGCCCGAATGGGATGCCAGCGCTGCAGGCCGTCTTAACCTACTAAGCCACAGTGCCAGCCCCTATCTAATCTACTTTTAAGGTTTGTACTTTCATGTGTTTTCATGATGGTAGTATTCATCCTTTTTCTTCTAGGGCTGATTTGGTGGTGAAGAACTCCTTCAGTTTCTGCTTGTCATGGGAAGTGTTTATTTCTCTTTTATTTTTGAAAAGTAGCTTTGCTAGGTATAGTATTCTTGGCTGGGAATTACTTTCTTTCATGACTTTGAATATTTCATAACATTCTCTTCTGGCCTGTAAAGTTTCAACTGAGAACTCTCATATTAATCTAATAAAGGTTCCTTTTTAAGTCACTTGATGGATTTCTCTGCTATTTTTAGAATTTTCTTTGTCCTTTTAAAAAAATAGTTTGACTATAATGCATCTCAGAGATGATCTTTTTTGGCCAACTATATTAAAGATCCTTTGGGCTCCCTAGGCCTGGATGTCTGTATCTTTCAGATTTGGAAAGCTTTCAGGAATTATTTTATTAAATATATTTTCTAAACTTTTCCCTTTTATTCTCCTTCTGGAATACCTCTAATGCAAATATTTCTTTGATTAATGATGTCCTATATGGGCTTGTCCTGCAAGGCCCACACTGTTGGGATGGTAGGGTGACATCCTTCTTTGATAAAGAGCACCAGAGACAATTTTGGTGAATGTGTCTGTTTATAAACAGGCACAAGCTTTTATAGGGAGTAGCTAGCTCAGGGTAGCAACACTAATTCTATAGGATAGGGGCTGGCTCTGTAGCATAGCGGGTAAAGCCTCTGCTGCAGTGCTGGCATCCCATATGGGCACTGCTTCGAGTCCTGGCTGCTCCACTTGCAGTCCAACTCTCTGCTATGGCCTGGGAAAGCAGATGGAAGATGTAGGCCACTGCACACATGTGGGAGACCCAGAAGAAGCTCCTGGCTCCTGGCTTCAGATCAGCGAAGCTCCGACTATTGTAGCCATCTGGGGAATGAACCTGTGGATGGAATTCTCTCTCTCTCTCTCTCTCTCTCACTCTCTCTCTCTCTCTCTCTCTCTCTGCCTCTCCTTCTCTCTGTGTGTAACTCTGACTTTCCAAAAATCTTTAAAAAACAGTTCTCTAGGATAAAGCTAATACTGGTGCCTCTGTGCTTCTCCAATCAGCTTGAAGGTCACATAGCCTATGTAGCCTTTGAAGAAACCAAGAATTAAAAATAATAAATGTAAATGAACTATAACATATAATAAAAATAATAGCACTGGAACTTTAAGCTAATATTTGGAATGAGGTGGGGGAGCATGACAATAAAGAGCAATAGAAATATTGAAAATACTATAAAATAACATCATTGATTAGAAAGAATGAAGTCACGTTAGATTTAGTATTCTGAGAATACTATGGTACATAATGTGTTAATATATTTCAGTTTCAAGCAAGTGGAGAGGGATATACCTCCTGCTTGGGAAAGAGACGGAATTAACCAGGCCCACATTGTTTAATCCCAGAGCAGGAGAGAGCCCCACAGCTCCTTCCCCAGGCCAATACCTATGGACTGTGCCTCTGGAACTACATTAGAAAGGAGGCCAAGGGACTGCCTCCATTGCCCTTCCCCTAATCTTGGACAGCACAATGCAAACACTATACCTGATGGGGAATAGAGCAAGAACATGAGCACAGGACTAGATATTGCAGAGCAAGATTCATGATGGCCTTTTAAAGAAGAGAACTAAACACAAAGCATCTACTCTTCTATCTCCTTGAGATAAACCTTGAACCAAGAGGGCCTTTTGTTAGTAGAGAAAGGGTAAGGAGGAAACCCTCAGGAGTCCCCATTCACACTACAGACTCCTGAGGCATTTACCAGCGGAGAAGCCTGGGGCTCTTGTCCTCCAGTCTAGTTTGGAGAGCTTCTGGGTTGCCAAAACACTATCTAACCCTGGAAACAGAACCCAGCGCATGTTGCAATCTCCCCTAGTCAGGTTCTTGCAGTACAGATCCATCTTGAGACCCCACTCATGCAGGGTTCTGTGAAGCAGCTGCTCCGAGTAGCTCCACAGATCTAGGCCTGAGAACCATGTAGAAGACCCTCCCCACAATCTCACTGCCATGAAAAGAACATATAGGGTACTCTTTGAGGGTACTCAGCCTGCAGATGTTCCCATAAAGTTGAATGGCCCTGCTAATCACTGCTAACCTAGAAGCATCTGAGTAGGCCTGGAATGCACCCTTGGCTTCATGAAGCAACTAGACAACCACCAGCTCAGCCTACAGAGGATCAGGGAAGAAGATAAGCATCAATAGGGACTCTCCTCAATTTTGGGAAGCAAATCAGCAGCCCTGCCCACTTTCCTGTAGCCCCAAGAAGCAACTGAGCCACTCTTTCTCATAAATGTAGCCCACTGAGGTCCTGAAAAGTAAACTTGACCATGGGAAGCAGGTAAGAAGACCTACCTGAGAAGGCTGTCTCCCAGAGGCCCTTTGAAGTTATCTGTACAGCCCTCAGGCACTGACAGGTAATCCATATGGACATGCTGGTGTGGTCTAACCCCTATGAGGCCTTTAGATACTCACAGGTACCCCATCCCACTATTGGGCATACTGTATCATACCCACCTGGGCCCACAAAGGCGGCTCCACTCATACTCAATCCACAGAAACTGATGGATTCCTTGCCTTTGCAGCTGGTCACACTGTGCCCAGAGCTGCCACTGAACATTACCTATCTAAAGGAGTGCAATCCTGTAGTGCAATCCCACAATCGTGTAACCTAATATATTGAGACATTCATAGACATTGTCAATATTGATTATAGCTGAAAAAGCTATAAGAACACTATGCTAATGTTCCCACTTTATTTTTCCAGAAAAACACTGTAAAAAAATTGGATTCAAGAAGTAGAAAACTTGAATAGACCAGTGACTATTGAAAAAAAAATGATTAAACAATTAGTTGACTTTAGAAAGCCTGATGCACAGATATTTTAATGGTAAAAATCACTAAAAGAAAAGAGAAATGTTTCCCTCAAATGGCATCTTTGTTCATGATTTCTTAGAGTGAGCATAGTGTTTATAGAAGTATCTTTTACTTTGCTGATTAGAGAAGAAAAGAATAATTTTAAGGGAGAAAGTACAAAATTGCCTGTAAAAATCATTTACAATTTTACTAATCACAGACAACATCTGGGGCAGTATTCCAGGATATGTTTATGTGCTTTACATGGGCATATACATTGTATTGTACACATTTATTTCCTGTTTTTTTCCTTTTAATAGTATGATATAAATTTTCCCTACATCTATAATATAAATAAAAAATTACTGAGGTACATGTAGATGAAAGGACACAGAATAGTTGTACAGCTCAATTTTCATAAACAATGAAAATACTTTCCTTTGTGTTTCATCAAGTTATTTTAGTTTATTGTGCTTTGGGGTTCCAGGCTGTTCTCCCTTCAGTGACATTTCTGACATACTTCTAAATGTGCCTGTGGATTTTCTGGACCTGAGAATGGGCCAGAGGCATCATCTTTGTCTTATCTGTGGAAGTCTCCCTGAATGTGTATTTCGGCATTTTTGTGAAATTTTTGCTGCAGATCACTTCTATCTACCATCCAGTATTAATTGTGTGACCCGTTTGTGTATCTCTATGTAATTTCTGCAGGTCCCCAAGGCTTCTGTATCATTTTATTTGAAAACACTTTTCCCACCTTCTTCATAAGTGTGGGAAACCTGCCTTTGAGAGAACATCCATCCTATAAAGACCCAAGCTGTGAAGATGATGCATGTGACAGAAGTTTTGGATATCTTGAGGAATCCTCATATCTTTCATCTACATGATCAAGAGGAGAATCCAGAAACTATCCATAGGAGAAACCTAGAAGCTGAAAATATTTCTCATAAGATATTTAAGTATTTTCAGTACTTATCGATGACTGGACCTCACCAAGCTGTAAGCCAAATCCAAAAACTCTACTGGCAGTGGCTACAGCCAGAGACACATACTAAGGAGCAAATAATAGATCAACTGGTGTTGGAGCAGTTTCTGACCACCTTGCCAGAGGAGATTCTGGCATGGGTGAGGTCAAAACAGCCCAAGAACAGCAAGGAGGCAGGAACCTTGGTGGAAATTTTCATCCAGGCACACGGGGAGAATGGTGAGAGAGGGAAGGAACAACTGTCCTTTTCTTCCTACTGAATGTTTGCAGTATGACTGGTGTATAGGATGAATTTAATATATTGAATAAATTAATGAAAGAATAAATTTTTTAAGGATTTATTTATTTGAAAGAGTTACACAGAGAAAGGAGAGGCAGAGAGAGAGAGAGGTCTTCCATCCAATGGTTCATTCACCAATTGGCCTCAATGGCCGGAGCTGCACTGATCTGAAGCCGGGATCCAGGAGCTTCTTCTGGGTCTCCCACGTGAGTGCAGGGGCCCAAGAACTTGAGTCATCTTCTACTGCTTTCCCAGGCCATAGCAGAGAGCTGGATAGGAAGTAAAGCAGCCAGGTCTCGAACGGTAGCCTATATGGGATACTGGCGCTTCAGGCCAGAGCATTAACCTGCTGCACCACAGCGCTGGCCCCAAAAGAATAAATTTTTTTTTTTTTTTTTTTGACAGGCAGAGTGGACAGTGAGAGAGAGAGACAGAGAGAGAAAGGTCTTCCTTTTGCCGTTGGTTCACCCTCCAATGGCTGCCGCTGCAGCGGGCGCACCGCGCTGATCCGATGGCAGGAGCCAGGATCCAGGTGCTTTTCCTGGTCTCCCATGGGGTGCAGGGCCCAAGCACCTGGGCCGTCCTCCACTGCACTCCCTGGCCACAGCAGAGAGCTGGCCTGGAAGAGGGGCAACCGGGACAGAATCCGGCGCCCCAACCGGGACTAGAACCCGGTGTGCCGGCGCCGCAAGGTGGAGGATTAGCCTATTGAGCCACGGCGCCGGCTCGCCAAAAGAATAAATTTTAATATAAAATTTAGTCTGTATAATCTCATGTGAGATGGATGAAGCTCTGGGTTTGGGTTTTGCTTTTAATATTTATTCTCCTAGAGTACCAGCCTCGTCCTCCTCTTCCAAAATATCTTACCCAGCCTAAAAAAAAATACACAAAAAACAGATCTTCTGGAATTACTGATGGCATAAATATAAGTATAAATTTGGATAAAATTGATATTTACATTAATTTTTCCATTTGAGAACAAAAAAGATTTGTTGAATGAATGGTTAACTTTTTTTTTGAAAGAAGGCATAAAATGTGAGAGATACAAAGCTTAGAAATTCAGTGTCTTCCAAAATTTACTGGTCTCTTGGAAACTTAAATTACTGGATTGGAACTAGATTGGAGAGCATTTTAAGAATGATAGAAGAGAGTCATTCAGTCCTCATATTCCTTTGATTTAAAAAAAAACTAAATACAAATCTAAGGCTATAGTTACAGTTCTTTCTGGAGGGAGGGCTGGAACATAGACAGGAAAGAAGCATTTAGTAGGTATAAATTATTGGGACTGTTGTAATTTTAAGGTTGGATAGTGAGTTCACAGGCTTCAATTATACATAAGAAATATAAATGAATGAATTTAAAATTAAAATGTGGCCATTCATGGTTAAAGGCTTATAGCATATCATGAATTAAAGATTATGATTAATCCAGCTATGTGCATCTACATTTCTTAAAAGTAATTTTTAAAATACTAATAGTGAAAATGCTAACACTTAAAATGTATTATTGTAAGTGTTTTATGTATTAATTCATTTATTTTAACAGCCCTGTGACATAGATGTTGCCTTTAACCTCAAAATGGTTAGGAAATTTCCTCATGGTTCTACAATTACTAATTGACCATCAGGATTTAGAACTAAGCTGCTGGCTCCGGCATTTGTATGCTTAGTTAAGGTGTTATACCACCTCAGGTATACCTGGGGGATGTCTTAGAGAGGTCAAAAACTTGACCAAAGGCATATAACTCTGGTGGAGCTGGAGTTCAGGGGTGAAGGAAAGAATTCTCTGGGATCTGAAAAAGAAACAACAGATTAATGAAAGGTATTAGAAAAGAGACCTAAGGCTTCTGAAGGAATTGTGCTCATCTTCCAGATCGATGAGTGAAAAGGGAGTAGGAAAGGTTACCATTAAAAATAACTGTGTTACTATATAGGAAATATTTAAGACTCATAAGAGCCTTTAGAACTATAGATATTATCATTAGAGAGGACTTTCATTTTACTTTAAAGCAGTGGGAAGACACTGAGGTATTTCAAACTGGGAAATGACCAGAACTGTCTTTTGGAGCTTGCTATATTGAATTGAGAAATCATTTCTGTGGTCTTTCTCTTACCATATGAAGTTCAGTCTGCTTCTACCTCCCATGGCAAGATGGGGTAGCATAAGAGGGGCAGGTCACACTGTGGCTACTGCCAGCAGAGAATTCAATTCTATGTTTATTCCTCTCTCCCTCTCTCCCTTTGAGGTTTCCTTGCCCAGGACTCTGATCTTGCAGAAAAAAAGAATACAACCATATTAGAAAGTGTACCACCTACTGGGTCCCAGGTGAGTCAGGTTTTCCTCCGTGTTGATTCTCAGGTATGAGGATCTTACCTTCCTGAGTTCTGGACCTTCTCTATGTAAGTAAATCATATCCTCATTTCTGTTAAGTCTTTATATAAATATCACCTAACTGAGCCTTTCTTCTGGATGCCCTATGTATGATTTTATTCTGACTTATACTTTGTATCTCCCTTCTCTGCGTTTTCTCTGTTGTACTTATCACTATTCCACATACTACATATTTAATGTTTCTCTTCTTTTTATCTCTTAAATTACTTGGCTTTTAGTGTTGTACTTTATTCAAAACTACCTTCATGTGGCTTAGAATATTATTCTGCCCCTTTTTACTTAGGAGGGAATGGAGCAGGAAAGTTAAGCACTGTGCTAAAGGGTCATGCAACTGTTGCATTAGGCTGGGATATGAACCCTGGTATTCTGACTTGCTTTAGAGTCTGCATTCCTAACCACTTGGTTGTGGACTCCTTCAGTGCCATCTATTCTAGCTTAGATTGCCAAATATAACAAAAACACAGAGCAGCCAAGTAAATTTGAATTTTATATGAGCAGCAAATAAACTTTTAGCATAAGTATATCACATGCAATATTTGGGACATAATTATGCTAAAATTATTTGTTTGTTTGTAATTCAAATTTAACTTGGCATACTGGATTTTGTCTGACCATCCTATTTCAGCTAAACTTCTAGATTTGGGAAAGTGGAGTTCATTGGGATGCATGATCAGGCTAGAATAGTCCAGAATATTCTTTATGAATGAAAGATAATATGTCCTACTGTGCAAGTGATTCCTCTAAAATTATGAATAATATTTTAATGAAGTCACAAACATAAAACTTTCACCTTATACTCCTTCAAGGTTTACAATGGAAAGGTTTCACTAACATTTATTGACTGCCTGCTTGTGTTACTTGTGCTTGAGAAAAGAATGTGCTTAGTACCATGTATCTAGGTGCTGCTGAAGAGTTATGGAGCTATTGGAAAAGGACTGATTGCTGTGCCTGAGGGTTACTGTGAACTTAGCATTTACATTCTTGCTTGCTTGCTTAAGTGGCTTAAAACGCCCTTTTTCTGCCAAGCAGATCTGTGGTCATCAGTAACAGAAACTGTCTCAAAAATATTCCCATTTCTCTCAAGACTACAGAACAAAGATGCAGTTCTAGATCTCTGGCCTGTGAATTAGAACACTTTGCAGCTTTCTGGCTGTCTGATCAGGCTTCTTTTCTCATCCTTACAATAATTCCTGGACGATGATCTTTTAAGAGTATATATGGTGTTTTAGGAGCTGGTGACCTTCCAGGATGTGTTCGTGGACTTCAGTCCAGAGGAGATGAGCTACCTTACTGCTGCTCAGAGGAAGCTCCACCGAGAGGTGACTCTGGAGAATTACCGGAACCTGGTCTCCTTTGGTAAGTATGTTTTCTCCGTGGAACTCGATTTCTGCCCACTAGTGCAGTAGATCTCAACTCTTTTAAGTCTTCTTACTAGTAATGGTGATTATCCACGTCAGTGAATATTAACTCAGATCAGAGAGTATATTTTAATATACAACTCACTGATAGGGGCCAGCACTGTGGCATAGTGGGTAAGGTCACTGCCTGCAGTGCCAGCATCCCATATGGGCTCTGGTTCGTGTCCTGGCTGCTCCACTTCCAATCCAGCTCTCTGCTGCGGCCTGGGAAAGCAGTAGAAGATGACTCAAGTCATTGGGGCCCTACATGCGCATGGGAGACCCAGAAGAGGCTCCTGGCCTCCTGGCTTCAGATCAGCGCAGCTCCGGCTGTTTTGGCCATCTGGGTAATGAACCAGCAGAAGAAAGACCTCTCTCCCCCTCCCCCCCTGTGTAACTCTGACTTTCAAATAAATAAATAAATCTTTAAAAAAAAAACCTCACTGTTAATTGTAAAATAAGTAACATTAATTGGGCCCTTACTATATGTCAGACACTGGTCTAAGTGCTTCACATGCTTTAACTCCTTTGATTTTCACACTAGTCCTGTAAGGCAGGGGCATACTTTTTGTTGTTATTATTATTATTGTCATTTGACAGATAAAGAAAGTGAGTATAGCAAAGCTAAATTACTTGTCTAGATCTGGGATTTGATCTTGAGCAGTCTGACTCCTGAATCGGCTCTGATGTTCTGCTTGACAACAGTGGTTTGCTTCTTCAGGTCTTAGTGCAACAGGAGAATTGAAATGATGGACTTTTTTTGAATGAGAAATAGAATTCTGAAAATTCTAGGTACTCTAAAGGCTTCTACTGGCCTCAGTCTTGAGAGTCAGAGATTGCCACTGCCTTTTGACATCTGTAGGCAGCATTGTTCCCCTTTCCACACAAATGAAAAGTCTTGTTGCCAGTGCTAGAATCCTCTTTTGGCAGCTTGTGTGTGTTTGTGTGTGGTGGGGGGTGCTTGAGGTCTCTTGAAAAACAAAAGCAAACACCATTCCAGTGGCAATAACCTAGTGCTCTTGTCCTTTGAAGTCAGAGACCCAGTCAGGAGACAGGTGCACCTTACCTCAGACCTGGTATATGGATGTGTGATTTAACTATGATTTTTATTGCCACAGAGAACAGCCTTTTCCAACATATTTTACCCTATTCCCTAGTAAATGCCTTTTCCAACTTATTTTGTGGTCTTCCCTTGGTGACCACATTTTATGACTTAAAAGACAGGATAAAACATCAAGAGAGTAGGAATAAATTCATTTTTTTTCTTTACGGCCTGTATGCAGTGACCTAGAGGCATTTCTATCTTCTTGTGAGCCCTTGGCTTCTTATAACACTAAAGGTCTTAGGTTAACAGAGATCTTATGTGTCACCCAGGACATTGCTTTCCCAAATGTTGAATGAGTACAGTTGGTTAAATAGGAGATGATTTTAGGTGGTACATGGACAACATGAAATAACCCAATCAGCCAGTTGTAAAGACCCCTTATCTGCTTTCAAACTTTCTGATTATATCAGATAGAAAGTGTCGTTTTGATGTTAGCATGTCTCTGTGTCTTGCTGATCTTCCCTTTAAGCAAAGAGTACAAACCCCAAGCCTTGAGCCTTAACTAGGCAGCAGAAGCCAGCTAGCACTTAACAACCTTAGTTTCAGTTGTATATATTGTTATGTTTATTGTCTGTTTTGCAGTTGGTATTAATTTCCATTTATAGAGTTGATCTGAAGCTTCCATTTAAAATTTGCATATTTAAGTTAAAAGGAGAAGTGATCTAAAGAAAAATATTAAATAACTACCACTATAAATGACATAGCTAAAACCAAAGTACAGGGTCATTCATTAATTGTCAGCTAATTCATGATGTGACAAGTCTGGTTATAGGTATTGGAGTAACAAAGTAAATGAGAATTCCAAGTCTCGTCTCATAGATGTTATATTCCAGTGGGGAGAGACAGAAAATAAGCAAGTAATAAAGTGTGTTCAAATGATTGCAATTTAGGAGATAAGGAGCTAAGGGAGCAGGAAGAGCAGCTTTTTAAGACAAAGAGGGAATGGAGGTTATCACAAGGGGGAAAATCTTCACTTTTTGAGCCGCCACATCAAATTTCCCTTTGCTGAAGAAGAGTACATTGCTCTCTAAGTCCCTCTTTTTTAGTTTTCATTCAATAACAGGTTTTCAACCTCGGTACTGTTGACATTTGGAGCCAGATAGACTGCACGATAAACTGCATCACTGCCTCCACCCTCCAGAGGCCAGGAGCACCTTCTTTTCTCCCTTGGTGGTGACAACCAAAGATATCTACGTACATTGTTAACATGCCACTTGAGGGATAAGGTTGTTGAGAGCCATTGCTTTATAAATTTGGAAATACGCTTCATTTGACTCTTGGCGAGTTTGCTCTTTTCTTATTATCCTAAAGTCTTTAGGACCCGGTTTTAAGTTGCTGATCCCCCAAGTTATGTCTGCTTTCTTCAACAGGGTACCAATTTGCTAAACCTTACATTATCTCATGCTTGGAGGAGGAAGAGTCATGCACAATTGAAGAAGGTAGCAATGCAGTGATAGAGGAAGAGTCACATGCAGTGGAAGAAGGCAGCAGTACAGTGAGATATCAAGGTGAGTAGTGAGAGGAAGCCTGTGGATATGGAATCAGGGGAAGGCAATACCTGTGCCCAGGGATATGCAAGGAGGAGTGCAAGATACACGGAGCATGCTACTAATATGCTCTTACTTCAGGGACTCTTTCTCTTGAACACCTTCTTAATCTCCTTTCCATGTCTTCCTACAGCATAAATTCCTCTCCTGTTTTGCACTAGGGAGGTCACTTTCCCTTTCTTTACTGTTCCAGTCCCTTCATTTATTTGTCTTTCTCCATGCAACTACTAATCATAGTTCTTTCCTCTTTAAATTAGACAAGCAAAAAGCCTGAGTGTGATAGTACTTCTTTTTCCTAATGCCTCCCATATTCGCTCACACCAGCTCCTCAGAATTACTGACATCCTTTCCTTTCATTTCCTCCCTCCCCTTGTTAGCCTCTGCCATCTGGCTTCTATCACCCCACTTCTGCCAACATCTACACATACACACTTTGTTCTAAGACTTCCACAGAAGTGTTCTGCACCTACATCCTATGGCTCAAGAACAAGAACCTTCTAGTCTTTACCTTCTCCAAACTTTATGGCTGCAATCTGATAATGTTTAGCATTTTCATGAAATCTTCTTTAACAATTATTTTTTTATGTATTCATCTGAGAGGCAGAGAGAGAGAGAGAAAGAGAGAGAGAGAACCCATCTACTGATTCACTCTCCAAATGCCCGGGATGTCCCCTCCTCCCAAAAGGGCCCGGGGAATGGCTTGGGGGGGAATGGGAAGACAAGGACTGTAAACAGTCTTCAAATTTCAAATCTCAAAATGTCAATTTCACTCCTATGCATTACATTTTCAGTACTCTATTAGTTACCACAGAACAGGTACAACATATGGTATCTGTCTTTTTGGGACTGGCTTATTTCACTAAGTATAATGGTTCCCAGTTGCATCCATTTTATTGCAAAAGATAGGATGTTTTTTACTGCTGAGAAGTATTCCATAGGATGGAGATATATATATATATATATATATATATATATATATATATAGACATATATAGGTATATATATATAGATAGATAGATCATAATTTCAGTTGATGGACATCTGGGTTGAATCTATATCTTAGCTATTGTGCATGGAGCTGCTGTGAACGTGGGGGAACAGATAACTTTCATCTGGTGATTTCATTTTGTTTGGGTAAATTACCAGGAATGGATTGCTAGGTTAAATGGTAGATCTATTTTCAGATTTCTGAAGTATCTCTAGAAAGACCCTTATGACTATTATATGGAGAATGAGATTTAGGAGAACATTCAGAGAAACCACTTCACAAGGCTGTTGAAATCCATCAGGCTAAAGATGTTGAAGATATGCTATAACAGTACAATGGTCAGATTTCAGGTATTCTCTGAAAATGGAAGTATCAGAACATTCTGAAACATTGAATGTATGTTGGGGTGAGGAAAACAGAGGAGTCAGTTAGAACTGGGTTATTTCTTGGTCTTTCATTCTTGAATATTCTCTACCATGACCATTTCCTGAAAGATTTAATCCATTGTTATGGATCCAGCTGTCCCCCTTCTCCTGGTGACCTCCTAAGCTATACACTGGCTCTGCTGTTTCACCTATACTCTGCTCACATATTTCAGCTGTCTGCCAGGATTTGACCACTATGTTCATCACTGTCTCTTCCAAACCATAATCTTATACTTGCTTTCCTTGGCTGCAGTTTCTTTCCCACTTAGAGTTTAATTCTTAAAGAACAAATTTTTAACCAGCTTCTTACCACCCTCAAAAGAAAATTCAGAAATTGAAGTTCTTCCCATTCTGGCCTGAAATTTGCATCCCAGCCTCATTTGCCCCAGATCTTCTAGCTAAAATTCTGTGTTGCTAGATCCCTAGGATTGTCTACTTTGACAGTTCAGTGTCTTTGCTCACTCTGTTTTAAACAGTTACCACTACTTTGACCACTTACTGAGCTCAAATGCCATCATCTCCACTAATCTTTTCCTGTTCCTAAATAGAGTCTACTTCTCCAACTCTGCTGCTATAGTCATTTCCTAGATTACAGTCCTTTTTACAGACTTCTGATGGCTGTCTGGTCGGGCAGTGTCTTGCACAGCATAGACATTTAGTAAATGTTGAATTGAAGAGAATTAATTCATTGGCAGTGCAGATTTGGGTAAAATGAGATTAGGAGCCAAGAAAAATAGTTAAAATAGTTTTCCTAAAAAAAAAAAAAAAAGAAAAGAAAACAGGTTCCGTGATAAAATGAATTTGACGAATGCATTCTGTGCCTTCCCTTTTTGGGATTCAGGGTACCTATTAAAGGTTCTGAAGATTCATTCCTACAGGAAACTAACTTGGTTTGTATCATATAGTGTGTCCCAAATTGACCTGACAATGGAAGCCCCTTCATGGTCAGAGCTGTTTTTTCAAAATATTAGTGATCTACCAAGAATAGAAACTAGAGGTAAGCCCCAATCCCAGGTCTTTCTTTGGTTGTGTCCTCATTCAGTGCCTCTGGTATCTTTGTCCACACAAAGTCCTCTTGAATGGTCTTTTTTCTGTCTCTCCCACAGCCTGCCTTACCTACTGTTCTTGCCATATTTTTCCCTATTTCTCCTTAGAGTTCCATAAAATTCTCAAGCCTCCATAAGATCTGTCTGTTATCTTTGCTCTTTCTTTTTGTGTCTACTATAATGATGCATTTCTCTGAATAAAAAGAGTAGAGGAAATTTTACATTTCTTTTAGGTTATGAGAAGAAACCTGAAACCAAAGAACTAATTCCAGAACAAAACCTAACTATAGAACAATCGTCATTGGCAGAAGTGGAGAATCCAGCAGTAGGTAACTTCTTGCATGAATGTCTAGAAGAGTCTTCCATTGATGATCCATCAGAATTGCACCAGCACAGACAGAAGAAAATTTTGATTCCTATAACAATGAGTGATCCCAAGATCCCTCAGGAAAGAAGCCAGAGCAGTGATGAATTTGAGAGAAGCTGTAACCGTATTGAGCAATCAGAGGATCTTCTAGAAAAGAATCCCCAAGAATGTACTACTCTTGGAATGTGTACCAGACCGCAGACAGTGAACAGACCCACATGTGATCTTTGCAAAAGAACCTTTACCACCCGAGGAGCCCTTGTGAGACACGAGCAGATCCATACTGGGAAGAAACCCTATGAATGTAAACAATGTGGTGAGGCCTTCTATCTGATGCCACACCTCATCAGACATCAGAGGACTCATTTTGGTAGGAAGCGCTCTCAGTGCAGCGAAAGTAGAAAGTCTCTCATCCAGCATGGAAATGCCTGTGGACAAGTGAGAATTCATAGTCAAGAGGACTTCTATGAATGTTTTCAGTGTGGCAAAGCTTTTATTCAGAATGTGCATCTTTTTCAACATCTCAAAGCCCATGAGGCAGCAAAACCCGTTCCTTCTGAGTTTCCCTGCAACAAGACATATTTAATTCGCTATCAGCGGAAACATGACTATGTTGGAAAGAGAGCCTGCCAGTGTTGTCACTGTGGCAAAGCCTTCAGTCAGATTTCACATCTCATTCAGCATTATCGAATTCATGCTCAAGAGAAGCCTTACCAGTGTCAGCTGTGTGGAAAGTGTTTCAGTCTGCCCTCATACCTCACTCAACATTATCAACTCCATTTTCAAGAGAAACCCTCTGAGTGGAATGACTGTTGAAAACTCTTCAGTCAGAGAACACACTTTTCTCAGTATCTTTGGTTTCATCCTGGAGAAAGACCTGAGCATTCTGAGTTTGGGTAGCCCTCACACCTTAACAACCTAAAAATCCATTATGGTGTGATTTAAAAATATTAAATGATATGTAAGACAGCCTTTTTGCAAGAGGGGATTCTGCACATGGGTCAGAAGTCACACAGGTGAAAAAGCTTACATGGAATATTCTTAATGCATAGGAAAGAACTTGATAACTTCTTTCAGTGGCATTCATCAAATGGAAAACCTTGATTTTGACAAAGCTGATAGTATTGGTTATATATTTACATGGTACCTTATAGTTTAGAAAATATTGTCATATGTATTATTGTATTTGACTTTTTAAGGAACATGTGGGGTCCCAATGCAGATATTTATTCAGTCTTGCAGCTAAAGCAAATTTGAAACTCCAGGTTGTTAGTTAATTTTACCAAGGTTGTAAATGATGGGATGGAACTGAATTCAGATATTTTAGAAAATACTTTTGCTATATCCTCTCTGAAGAAAAGGTTCAGTACTAGACTGACTGCAGCCATCTTCCTACTTAGTAATCCAGGTATCATTTCACATCAAATCAGATGAGGACACTTGTGGTATCAGGGTTCAGAAGGCTTTCTTTGGGTGAGGTTCTGATAGCCAAATTCTCTCACACTTTCAGATTAGATGATGACTTTTTGAGACACTCAGGGGAAGTATATTTTTGCTATATTCTTGTAATTGTTCTTGTTTATGGTCAGTCTGTTACTGATCAAGTCTTTTTTTTTTATGGTTGAGTTTTCATATTCATCCTTTATATTCACCCTCATTAAAAAAAAAAATTAGAAAGCAGTATATTTCTGTTTTCTTGGGCTCAGGCATTGTCAGCACACCAAATTTTACCTAAAATTCTATTTCTGTGCTGATCATTTCACTCTTTAAAGCTATCAGCCCAGAATTGCACTAAAATTTTGTTTCATTCAGTATTGATATGATGATGAAAACTGAATCACTGACCTGAATGGTGATCAAATATAGATTCACATGGTGCCTGTTAAACCTGACGCTCCAGATCCTGTCTCCTTGCCTGGAAAGGATGGGTTGTTGCTGTTATTCTCTGCCCTGCATGTTCTTGACTGGCCATTTTTGAGACTGGGCTATGATGGGTAGCTCTGGAGTCAAGAAATTTGAAACAAATGTGCCCAGGTCAGAATCTGCACCAGCCAGATGAGTGCTAGCTACAAAATCTGTCTCCTGTTTTTACTGAAAATTCCTGATGAAACAGTCCTTATTGGCTGGCTCTATTTTCTCACCACAGTTCACTCTCATCCCGAGTAGCTGTTTTCTGATCCTGTTACCACTCTCATGAGGGGCCATGATGTTGATATGTCTTATTGTTGGTGATATTGGCCTTAATGCATTGATATAAAGTGGTATCTGCTGGATTTCTCTGCTGAAGAGTTACTTATGATTTCACTTTGTAATTAATAAACATCATACAGGAGAACTTTGACAGATTTCAAACAGCCAATTTTTCCTCAAACTTTTACTCACAGTACTACCATTATTTATTTTGTTATTCAAATGGTTTTCAGATTTGGCCGTTGTAAGCTCTGGCTCATTGACTTCTGTGCCCTTTCAGTAAACTCACATCCTTTTCCAAAACTACTTTTTTTCTACCTTCTCCTTAATTAATCTCCTTTTACCTACAAGTAAACCTTGTTGTGATAGTTCCTATGTCATCACTGTCTCCTGAAATTGGCTTCTTTCCCCAGGGTCAAATTTACTCAGGGCTTTAAATTTCAGTAATTTCATGTCTCTCTTGTAATTTTTACTAGATCTGTGTTCTGCCAGGACTGTTAGTAGGTTGTTTTTTTTTTTTTTTTTTTTTGAGTGACTTGTCTCTTCTTTAAACTTAAGTCATCAATATAGAAAGGAGAATTTTAAATCTCCTCAAAGGATTTTACTCAGGCTAATATCAGACTTCCCTGATTTCCTTTAAGATGTCCTTTTCCATCTGACTTAGTTGAGTCTATATGGTCTTAGTTGAGTCTTATATGGTCTATAGATGGCATGTGGTTGTTTGATTTCTCATGGTTCTCTTAATCTAAAACAATCTCCTCTCATTTTTTCAAACTACATCTTATGCGACCCTAAAGATAATGAGAGATATACTTCCCTCCTGCCCCTGTACAATTCTTACTGTGTCTAACAGTTTAAACACTCCTCTTATATCTAGGCTTGATCTTTTAAATTGTAAGCATTAATATTTTAACTTTTATTTGCAGTTATGGTAAAAAGTTAAAACATACCATCTTAAACATTTTAAGGGTTCAGTTCAGTGTAATAAATATGTTCACATTGCTATGCAGAGATCCTCAGAACTTTTTCTTCTTCTGAAACTAAAACTCTGTACCTTTTAAACAGCTCCTCATTTTTTCCTTCCCCTCAGCCTTGGCAACAACAGTTCTAGCACTTTTTTAAGGCTTTGTGCGTTATGCCAGTAATACTGAAAGAAACTGGCTAGTTGTCCTATAAAATGTTCCCCATTTAAAATGTGTCTCTGCTTCCTGTGATGTTCTTAAGTTTGTTCCTCTTTTGCCTATATTTCCTGTACATGGAAATCAGGTCTACCCCCTGAAGATTTAATTATATTCATCTTCACCTTTGGCAAGAACATGTCGTAGGTGGTTCTGTATGCTCTATATCATACCTCATCAGGGGAATAATGTGTGCCAGCTTTCCCCAAAGGATGTGCATTTTAGAATCTTGCTCCAAGCCAGTACACTAGTCATTGGCAGTGAGGTTTTCACTACTGCTGTGTCAGCTGCTTTTGCTCCTTTTTAATGACTTCACGGACCTCTCTACGTGCCTGTCTTCCATCAGCCTAGCCTGGTCTTCAGATACCCAAATTAAGAGATGGTAGCTTGTCATTGAGAGGTCTGGGTTTGGGCTTATGGTTTTTTGTGGAGCCTTAATTAGGGAAAGCTGAGAAGCATCAGATTATATTCTCTCTCTCTCTCTTTTTTTTTTTAATTTGACAGGTAGAGTTAGAGAGAGAGAGAGAGAGAGAGAGAGAGAAAGGTCTTCCTTCCGTTGGTTCACTCCCCAGATGGCCACAACAGCCAGCGCTGTGCCGATCCGAGGCCAGGAGCCAGGAGCCTCTTCCTGGTCTCCCACGTGGGTGCAGGGGCCCAAGCACTTGGGTCATCCTCCACTGCCTTCCCTGGGCCACAGCAGAGAGCTGGGAGCAACCGGGACTAGAACCCAGTGCCCATATGGGATGCTGGCGCCGCAAGCGGAGGATTAACCAAGTGAACCACGGCACTGGCCCCTATATTCTCTTTGTTAAGATGCTACTTTTATGCCACAAATGGCAGCAGTGACAATGTGAGTAGTTGGCACTGGCTGTCACCCATGGACTCTGGAATATATAGACTATGAACAAACTGTTACCAAACCTTCTGTCAGTTAACTTGAGCTTACCACGATAGTGGGTACCCCAACCTATTGTCCTTGCTTTTAGCCTGCCGCCTTTCTTGCTACTCCCAAGTGGACTCCCAGGGATAACGTAGAGATCTACTTCCCTGCTTTTCTTTCTCAATTCCTAACATATTTGACAGGCTGAACACTATGCTTATAATCAGGTTAAATTTCTTATTAAAATTTAGAAACACTGTGTTATATTTTGTGACAGTACAGATAAGATGTATTTCTTGGGGGAAAAAACCTAGAAAATACATATTTATTTTCTTTTCACATTTGTATTTCCTTCTCCTCCATACTCTTCTTCTCCCTGAAGAATTTGCACTGTGAATATATTTTAAAAAGAATATAATTGAAATCAGGCATAGAAAGAGCCATAGATGAAGTGCTTTGTTAGAATCCCAGTTTTTGTATGGTTTTATTAGGTATAGTTTCCTAACCAAACAAATAGCACTCAGCATTTTAGAGAAAATTTTGGAAAACACAACTGTTGAAAGGCCTAGAGTTCATCTTTAAAAAGAGCCCAGCAGTGCCTGACATTCAATAACCAATAGCTGCTATTAATGGAATATTTTTGTCTAAGATTTTTTTAAAAAATGTCATTAGTGGCAATAAACTGCGAAGCTGTAAACCACTGATAGGCATCAAAATTCAAGTACATTTTATATTTTAGTATTCTTTCTACAAATAATTTTTCTTTGTGTAGTTTTTTCAAATAACATCACAGAGAATTTCTATTTTTCTCATTTATTTTGCAATGAAAAGGCTTTTAATGATTAATTACATAAAGTGTGATTAACAGAGCACTATATTTACAGTTGTTTTTTAAGGGTAGACGTCCAAAGGTGGTATTATTAGATGAAATATTAATGAACATTTCCATGGCTTTTGAAAGATCCTGCTGAATTTGTTCTGGAGAGGCCATGTCATTGCAGCCCCCAGCTCAGGGCCAGAGGCTACAAAACAGGTGGCAGACGGTCCTGCTGAGTTTGTGACAGATGTTGCTGGTCAATTGTGCTCCCTCTGGTTCCAGTGAACCTGAGGAAAGGTTGGGATCATTCTCAACACAGGACTGCAGGCAGACTCAACACTTGAGCAAAGTTCATATATGCAAAGAAATGTCATTGCCACCCCTGGTATAAATATTTATTTTGAATAACTTGGCCATCACTGCCTATTTATCTATTATAGCCAATTTTAAAAATCTTTGTATATGTCACAGGCAAAAAAAAGTGGTTCTTTGCTTACTAATACATTGTTTCTTCAGATGCTTTTGAACTTTTTAATGAACAGTCTAGTATCTTAGTTGTTTACTGATTGTGTCTTCATGCATTTGCTTATTGATTTTCATGAACTCATTATACATTTTTAAAGTATGGATTTCTAGAGGATTTGAAATGCTTAGTTTTCATTTTAAAGTAATTCTTTTTTTAAAAAAGATTTAGTTATTTGAAAGTCAGAGTTACACAGAGAGAGAAGGAGAGGCAGAGAGAGAGAGGGGCCTTCCATCCACTGGTTCACTCCCCAGTTGGCCACAATGGCCGGAACAGTGCTGATCAGGAGCCAAGAGCTTCTTCCAGGTCTCCCACATGGGTGCAGGAGCCCAAGGACTTGGGCCATCTTCTACTGCTTTCCCAGGCCATAGCAGAGAGCTGGATCGGAAGTGGAGCAGCTGGGACGCCAACTGGTGCCTATATGGGATGCCAGCAACGCAGGCAGCAGCTTTACCCACTACTCCACAGAGCTGGCCCTTAAAGTAATTCTTGACCCCTTAAAAGCAATTCCTACTTTAGTGAAAGGTGGAAGGTCTTTCCTTCCCTCCACCCCCAAAAGAAAGAAAAGTACACATGAATACCTTTAACATTTTTGTTTTCTTATAATATAAAAAATTATTACTGGACTTACAAAGTTAGTTGCCTTTGGAAAGTAGTGGGGATAAAACCTCATTTTCATTGTTCTTCCATTTTTTTTTTACTGACATCATTGTTTTAGCTATTTTAAGATATTTATAGATAATTGTCATATAGCTGTGCCCCTTCCATGTAAGCAACAACATGCCTTATTTTTCCACTCAGTCTTAAACCTTCCACAGCTGTCTTCATCACTGCCTTGTCTGTCATTATCACCTCCTAAATAGTTGCACCATATACCCATTAAGTCTGGCATATTCACTGATATGTATAGCCTTCCTTGTGTTGTTTGGATGTTTAGTTAGTGTTTTTCATAATTATAAATGAAATTATAATTATAAATGAAATTTAAATTATAATGAAAATTTTTGCATAAATATTTTTCTAAATTTAGGATTTTTCTTTAAGATAGATTTTGCTGAAGAGGAATTGCTGGGTCAGAAGGTCTGATGGTTCTGAGGTTCTTAATCGATCCAAGCTCCTTTGAAATGTGTTTCATCAATTTGCACAACTGCTGGTAGCAGTTGGGAGTGCGGGTTCCACATCCCCAGCTGGGGTTTTTTTAGTAAGACCATTTCACCTTCGTTAATTTCATAGGGAAGAGCATCTCGTTTTAACTGCTTTTGATTTTTAAGGAGGTTGAGCATTTTTTGATAACCTTCTTAAGCAGTTGTATTTCCTCTATTTGTATTACCTATGCTTATTTCAATCATTTGTAAATGTGGATTTAATGTCTTCCTATCAATTTGAACAATCTCTTTGTATAATAAAGATATTAATTCTTTGTTTACATTTTGGCTGCATATGTTTTTCCTGGAATTTTTGGCATTTCTTTGAATTATTTTTTTACAAAGTTTCAATTTTTATGTAATTCAATTCCTTTCTTTTGAAAGCCTACAAAATCTAACCCTCTGTAAACATTAGAATGCTTTATTATGGAATTTTTATTTTAAAACATACTTTATTTTTGAATTTATGTGTGTATTATGTGAAAAAAGGATCAAAATTACTTCTTCCCCACTGTTAATTGCCATAGCACCAATTTTTAGTAAAAGATGAATACAGTCATAGTATTTTTAGTGTAGAATCTACATCTGTGCCATATATATGTTTCACTGGCTTGTTGCCATTTTATCCTAGATCTATATTCTGCTAAATTTTAAGAGCTTTCTATTTAATGAGTCTTCCATCATTGTGCTTTTAAAAATGTTCCTGTATACATATATGTATGTATAGTTATATGAAAAAAGTAATTTGTTGTAATTGAAAATTTATCCTTATTAATTAAGACATCTTTTTGTTATTGCAATGAACTTACAAATGAATTAGGAGGATTTACATTGGTAAGTTTAATCTTGGCATCCAGAAAAATATTGTTCTTTTATTTACTCAAACTTTTGTATTAATTGGTAAAGTTTTATGACTTCTCATAAAGCCACAAATTTTCTTTAGTCATCCACATGTTATTGCAGTTATGAGATTTCTTATGTGGGGATTTGGTGTTACATTTTTCATAAAACATCAGCATCTCAGAAATGGGCTCACTTTGGAGTTGCCTGGGAATTCTAAAATTTCAGAACCAGGATAACTACATTTGACTGCTTCATTGAAGCCTCTCCTGTGATAACCTCTACTGCATGTGTGCAAGCTGGCCAAGCTCCAAGCTTCCAGAGGCAGAGAGCCGTTTATTCCCTTACCCATATGACTAGTAAGTGGACAGGCTCATTCTCACATCTTTATCCAGGTAACTTAAAAAGCTATGAGCCAGAGGTTATCTTGAAATGTTGATGAAAGCTGGGGATCCTCAACTGGGGCAAATGTAGAGACCTACAAGTGTGGGTGGGTACACAGACACACACACACACACTTAAGACCAGCACTTTGGGATCCACCATGGGATTCCATGGCCTCAGCTAGGAACCTTCCCCTGAAAGCTCCAACTCAACAAGTCCCCCAGGTCATCTAAAAACAGGTCTCCTCCAGATGAGACCCTGAGGGAGGGAAGAAATACAGGACCCATGATATGGTACCCAGCCTACTTCAGCCTTCCATGTATAAACACATTTGGAGTAAAGAGAAGAAAGAATGAGCTGCCAAGAGTTCTCTCAATAGGATACAAGTTCATGTACAAGAACAGGCCAGTTGATTAGGATGGGGACCATGGTGAAGAGAAGGCGGAGTAACCCCCCAACTCAAGGTGCACAGTTAGCAGATCTTGGATTTTTCAACAGAAGCTAGACGACTACATGTGAAGTCTCTCAGTATTTGAATGAGGATATCAAATTTTTACAAAGCAGTTGTGAAGACTACAAAACATCTGTGGGCTATTTTTGGCCAATAGGCATTGTGTTGAGATGTCTGAACTGCTATGGTTCAGACCTGCAGGCTGCTTTTGTAATTTCTGATTCTCTTGCCTCAATGGAGACTGAGGTGAATATGCTGGAAAATCCAGCAACTTACTCAGCTGCCCACAGGAAAGAAGCAGTGCTGAAAGAATCGAATCTAGGCCAGGTCCATGATTCTAGGCAGTGTTGATGCCTAGCCCATGGTATAAGGCAGCGTTTTTCCTCCCTGGGATGAATCCCACTCGATCTTGGTGAATGACCTTTTTAATGTGCTGTTTGATTTTATTTGCTAGTATTTTTTTTCAAAATATAACTTTCAGGAGCATGTTTATTGAATTATAAATGAACATACAATAAAATTCATTTTCATGTGTAATATATGAACTTTAAAAAAAACTTTTTATTTTTTCCTCTAGAGCTACTATTTCATTGCAGATATTTTCATCTATGTTTATCAAGAATATTGGCCTATAGCTTTCATTTTTGTTCTGTTTTGTCTGATTTTGGTATTCAGGTAATGATAGCCTCATAGGAGGAATTTAATAATCCATCCCTACAAGCCTCTCCCTGGGCCTGTGATAGGCTGAGACTTCTTGTCCTGTGTCCATGAAAGCCACAGTGCTGGATCACATCCAGAGCCCTCCTCCCTCTAAGGCCAGTGCAGCCTCGGGGTAGGACCAAAGCCCAGCCCGCTTTGGTCTGTCTGCGGCTGAGACCACCGCACTCTGCTGGACACGAAGCAGGTCAGGAGACTGTGTCTGCAAGGCACCAGCCTGGGGACAGGGGCCCTTAGGAGCTGCTCACGCTGGATTTTATCAACCCGGCACTGAGCCCTTGCGCAGTCCTGGATTCCTTGCTGTCTTCCCAAGGTTGTAGCAGGTGATGGAGGCAGCTCCTCACCTGCTCAGGAATCCTGACATAATCGCTCTGGCTTGTTAATCATATCTGTGTCATGCAAAGTACTAGGAAAGTGGCTTTGCCCAGGGTGAGGAAGGCAAAGTGTTTCTTAGGGCGGCTCACAAGTATAAAATGTCTTCCGCTATTCCGCCTCCCCCACAAAACATCTACAGTGAGACTTCCAGTTTCCCACACCGGGAGTCGAACCCGGGCCGCCTGGGTGAAAACCAGGAATCCTAACCGCTAGACCATGTGGGAGACGTGCTTTCAGTGCTGCCAAACACTCACTACAGCATCTAGTTTAGGGTGGAAAACCGCCGTTTCTGTGCTCTTAGAATCAGGAGTTCCGAGTTTCCTTGGGGACTCCACGGTGAGAGACCGCGGAGAGAGACGCTGAGCGGAAACAGGGGCGGCGCAGGGACGCTGGAAGACGGAGACTGTGGCGGGGCGTGCGTCCCGGTGGCGCTCGAGGGTCTCTGCCGGCAGGGGCTGGGGCTCGAGGGTCGCCAGGATCGGGGCTGGGGTCAGCCGGTCCTGTGGCCGCTCTGCCTCCAGGACCCGCCATACCCAAGCGCCCGGAGAGGGCGGGGAATGCAAAGGATTTTTGCAAACCAGCGCGACCCCAGCCCAGAGCTCCCGCGCACCTGTGGACGCGCCTGGGCGTCGCCCAGAGCCGTCGGCGCCCAGCTCCGTCCTTCTCCCCTCTCTGAAGTAGATAAAAACACGTCTTAAAAAGAGTGGTCTGAACATAAAGGAGTTTCCAGAGTTAAAGGAATAGCGCGCGCTTGCTGTGGAGCGACTCCAGGGGGAATTTTAAAGCATCCGTACCTCAGGAGGAGGCAGACCTTGGAAGCTCTGACTTTAACAAGAGTGGAAAGGGAACTGGCAAATGCGTGTCCGAGCGTGAACAGACCTAGCACAGGGACGAGAGGGTTTGAAAGGGCCTCGAAAGACCAGGAGAGTTCCAGGCGCAGAGCCCGAGGACGCGGAGCGCGCTCGGTGTTTGGGGCAAGACCGGGAGTTCACAGCACCCGCCAACTGCTGAATGGGTGAAGGAGGAGCCACAGGACAGGCACAGCGGAATCCTATCCGACGCCGTTTGTGACAGCGCTGGTGGGGGGACAAGGATGCTAAGAGGAGTAAGGCAAGCAGAGAGACAAGTGCTGCCGAATCTCGTTTATAAAACCGAACTCATCCAGAGAGTGGAGTGGTGGTTTCCACGGCCTGGGCGTGCGTGGAGGACTGGGGAGACACAACTCAGTTAAGGAAGAACACGTTCAAGAGATTTGTGGTACACTGTGGTGACTGCAGTTAGTAAAATGAATTGTTCTTGAAAATGCCAAGAGCGACTTTAAGTGCTGTCATCACACACACACAAAATGGCATGTGAGGTGATGCATACATTAGCCATTCCATAGTATATTTATATAGATATATTTTTTTTCAGGCTTTCCTTTTTTTTTTTTTTTTGTTTGTTTGACAGGCAAAGTGGACAGTGAGAGAGAGAGAGACAGAGAGAGAGACAGAGAGAAAGGTCTTCCTTTGCTGTTGGTTCACCCTCCAATGGCTGCCACGGCTGGCGCGCTGCCAGGTGCTTCTCCTGGTCTCCCATGGGGTGCAGGGCCCAAGCACCTGGGCCATCCTCCACTGCACTCCCTGGCCACAGCAGAGAGCTGGCCTGGAAGAGGGGCAACTGGGACAGAATCCGGTGCCCCGACCAGGACTAGAACCCGGTGTGCCGGCGCCGCAAGGCGGAGGATTAGCCTAGCCTATTGAGCCGTGGCGCCGGCCTATATAGATATATATCAAAACAACACTTGTACATGATAAAAAAATATATGAACAACTTTTTGTCAAATTTCTTTAAAAATAAGTTTCTAAGATTTGATGATCTGAAGATAGCCATACTCTATGATATAGAAATTGGCCTCCCAGGGTCCTGCATTGTAGCCTAGAGGGTAAAGCTGCCACCTGCAAGGCCAGTATCCCCATATAGGTGAGGTTCTATGGGAGGGTTCCTGTCCCAGCTGCTCCACTTCTGATCCAGCTCTCTGCTATGGCCTGGGAAAGCAGTGAAGGATGGCCCAAGTCCTTGGGCCCCTGCACCCATGTGCGAGACCCAGAAGAAGCTCCTGGCTCCTGGCTTCAGCGTGGCCTAGCCCTGGCCATTGCAGCCATCTGGGGAGTGAAGCAGTGGATGGAAGATTCCCTCTCTCTCTCTCTCTCTCCTATGTAACTCTCACTTTCAAATAAACAAATAAATGTAAAAAAAAAAAAAAGGAAGAAATTGGCCTCCCAGAGGTATATCCTGAGGGGAATGCATATGTCTGTGTACATGGATACAATTTAAATAATTTCCAGGGGCCGGTGCTGTGGCATAGCAGGTAAAGCCTCTGTTTGCAGTGGCAGCATCCCCTATGGGCACCAGTTCTAGTCCTGGCTGCTCCTCTTCCAATCCAGCTCTCTGCTATGGCCTGGGAAAGCAGTAGAAGATGGCCCAAGTGCTTGGGCCCCTGCACCCACATGGGAGACCCGGAAGAAGCTCCTGGCTCCTGGCTCCAGATCAGCGCAGCTCTGGCCATTGAGGCCAATTGGGGAGTGAACCAGCAGATGGAAGACCTCTCTCTGCCTCTCCTCCTTTCTCTGTGTAACTCTGACTTTCAAAAAAAAAATAAATAAATCTTTACAAAGATAATTTCCACAACTACATAGATTATAAGCTCTAAACAGAAACAGTTCAAATGTTATGACCCTATAATGTGAGTGGTCTGTATGTGTGTGTGCTACGCATATGGACAGTAAGCTCATAATTGCAAGTCTTATTAATTTATTGCACTTTCAATAGCTGCTTTGGAAAACCCCTAGAAATGTGATTGTGACATTAAAAAAAGGGACATGAAAACAAAGAACTGTCCATTGACTATAAACAAGATGAGGTGTGTCCATACACTGGAATATTGTTTAGCAATGAACAGGAAGAAAGTACTGATATACTCTGCAGTATGGGTGAACTTTGAATGCATGCTAAGTGAAAGGAGCCAGACACAAAAAGACCACATGTCATAAACTATCATTTATTGAATGCAATGACAGGAAAATCTATAGACAGAAACTAAATGCTAAGTGAGTGAAGATCAAGAAGTGGGTATGGAGAATAACTGCTAATGGGTAGAGAGTTTCAGTTTGGGGTGATTGGAATGTTCTGGAATTAGCTAATAGTGGTGAGAATGTTCTGGAATTATATAGACAATGGTAATGGTTGCCCAGCTCCAGATATACTAAAAGCCACTGAATTGTACACTTAAAATTGTATTATGCTGATGGCTGTTCAACTCTGTGAATTCACTGAAAATCATTTGACTCTCCACTTTAAATGGGTGAGCTTCGTGGCATCTAAATTATATATAAAGCAATCCGTTAAATATCAATAAAAATAATCACACTTCCCCTTTAAAAATAATGTTCATTTCTTTCCCACCAGCAGCCCCCTGTACCCACATCCTCACCCACAGGGGTAATTGTCTGGGCTCACAGGAAGCCCGTAAATGCCAGCACCTTCCCAGCTCAGAGCTCGGAGCCAAACAACCTCTTTTCCTTGTCAATCACCGGTCTACAGTATTCTGTCTTCAGTAACAGGCAACGGACCAGGATAAGCACAGAGGAATTTTTGCCTAACTCCCCAAAGCTAATCCATGGGAAGCCAGGACTGCAGTCCAGCACCTGACTCCACAGCTTCCACCGCCTTGCTTTAGTGTTGAGGTGAGATTTATGCTCTCCGTGTGAGTGCCTGGGTGGATAGTGATGCCAGTTATTCGTGCAGAGAGGAAATTAGAGGAAGAGCAGATTTGGAGAAATAAAGAAGTGGGTGTGGTGAAATAAATCAAGGAATGGGTATAGGTACTCTGATTTAGGCAGGCATATAGGATAAAATTGATTAGATTTGCAAGCTGGAAGACCATGCCTTCACCATGCCCCTGTGTGATCTTATTCCCTTACCTGACCACACCTGTGCGCCCACCTGCCAATCAGGCTAATTAACCACTCCCCTTAGGAAGTGGATTAAAGGCCCTAAACATGGTGGGCCTGGCACTTTTTTTTTTCCCCTCTTTGCCTTTTTCTCTCCTCTCTGCCCTTGATCCCCTTGCTGCCCGGCGCCTTTGGGGCTTGTGGCCTTGGGCCACCTGCTCCATGCTTCCCAGCCCGCACACTCCACGTGGCTGGCTCCTGGTGCTCAGTATGAATCCAGATCTAGCCCTCTCTCTCTTAGATAGGGCCCTCGCTCTCCTATGCACTTCTTTCACTGAATAAAAAGCTTAAAAACTTAACATGGGTTTATTTGAGCCAGGATTCAGAATTCTCTGAATTCGTGGCAAGAGCCCACACAGCTTATTGATTTCAGGTGTATTAATAAGCACATCTGTAACAACTGTCTTCCTGT